TGGGCTAACTACTGCCAATCCTCCTTTTTGCTGAGGAAGACTGGCCCTGAGGTAACATCCATGCCCATCTTCCTCTACTTTATATGTGGGACGCCTACCACAGCATGGCTTGCCAAGCAGTGCCATGTCTGCACCTGGATCTGAACTGGCGAACCCTGGGCCGCTGAGAAGCGGAACATGCGAACTTAACCTCTGCACCACTGGGCCGGCCCCTTATTTGTCTTTTAAAATTTGTTGATATGTTACATATATTTGTTTTGTTTAGAAATATTTTATCAGAGCATTATATCTTTTTAGAACAAGTATTATTTAAAGAAATTATATAAGGTAGTTTTAAAAAAAATCAAATATCAGTATTTACCAATGTTTTGTTTACCTGAAATGTTATTTCATTTGTAAAAAGCATCTCCTGCTACCAAAAAAAATGAGAAACTTTATCAGATTTAACTTTTTATTTTAAAAAAGTCTTAAGTCTTAAGGTAAATATTTTAAGTAGAAAATACGCTCATTTGTAAATAGTTTCATATATTATCTCTGATTTATTTACATCTATTATATTATGTACATGTATTATAACTGGTCCCTTTCATAGGAAATCTGACTAGCTTAATCACTTATATTAAGCATTGTAAAACAAAAGCAAGGGCAAAACGTCTTTAACAAAATACTCTGTATGCAACTACTGAGTATCAAGATATTACTTAGGGTTGTTATGGACTGAAGTGTGTGTCCCGCGGTCCCACCAAATTTATCCGTTGAAATCCTAATCTCCAACGTGACTGTGTTTGGAGACATGGATTGGAGGAAATAATTAAAATTAAATGAAGTCACAAGGGTGGGTCCCCATCCAACAGGACTGATGTCCTTAAAAGAAGAGAAAAAGACACCAGGAGTGTACGCGTGTGCACACACACACACACACACACACACAGATGAAAACGCATGTGAGGACACAGCAAGAAGGCACCATCTTCAAGACAAGGAGAGAAGACTCACCAGAATCCAACTCTGCTGGCACCTTCACTGCGGAATTCCAGCCTTCAGAATTGTGAGAAAATAACTTTTTGTTGTTTAAGCCGCCCAGACTGTGATATACTATTGTGGTGGCCTTTGCAGGCTAATGCAGTGGTTATAATTATCTGCCACGAAACACGTCACAAAATATATTCACTGGATTGTTTTCCAGATTGTAGCTGCCCTTTGGCATCCAAAATAAGGATTTCCCACAAATATAAGTGGCAGTGAAAGTCACTTAAAGATTAGTTTATATCAATTTTTTTTCCTTTTCTTTTTCCCTCCCTGCCTCCTCTGTCAACGGCACCATATCATTAAAAGCATTAAGTACCTGGGATTTATGCCTCAAATCAAGACATCATTTGAGTAATTTCAAATGAGGTACAGCTTTTCGTGTAAAAAAGATGCTTTGTGGTCACAATTACTTCAAAAAACAAATATTTTCAAACAGCCTGACATATCACACTATAGTAACTACAGAAGCATGGTTTGGACACATGGCAATTTTTTAAGTTAGGCAAATGTGAAATGCTAAAAGACGTGGAAAGCAATTCTTCTGTTTAAGAGTAGAGTGCTGAAAAACTCAAGGAATGACTTGATTTTTTCAGTTAACATAGCCAGCCTGTAACAGTACAGCATACTAAATCCTACAGACTTTTGCTAGTACAAATGCAAAGAAGGTAGTACCTTTACAGTTATAAAATTTTGCCAAATCAATAGTCTTTAATACAATAAAATCATACTTTTGTTGAAGTCATATGTTACTTTCATGATAATTTTCATTCTAAAAGTATGATTTAAATACCAAATCAAGACATTGTGGGTTTTAGTGGTGGGTTTGTAAGATTGCAAGATAGTTTATACGAACTCATATGGCTTTTAAAAGGATATAATTTCTCCACTTAAAGTGAATTCCCTCATGCAAGCTGTTGAAGTTTAATATAGCAGAGCAATTATGTGCATAGAAAATATGACTCTCCTTTATTCTATGGTTGGTCCAAAACCAGGTAGTTTCAATGCATGAAAATCTTCAAAATTCTACCTTAAAGAAATTCAACTGTATCTAAACTTTTTCCAAATATTTTATAGTTTTTTGCATAGAGAACTTGCACTTATTTCATTAGATTAATTCCTAGGAATCTGACAGTCTTTGATGTTATTATCAATGGTGACCATAGCGGGCAGAATAACAGTCCCCCAAATATGTCCACACCTTAGTTCCCAGAGTCTGTGACTGTTACCTGACATAACGAAAGGGACTTAATGTTTACAGATGGAATGAAGGCTGTTAATTAGCCAACTCTAAACTAGGGGGATCATCTGGGTGGGCCCAGTTCAATCACATGAGCTCTTAAAGCCGAAGACCGAGGCAGAAGAGTGGGTCAAAGAGGCGCTGCATGAGGAGGACTCGATCGCCCTGCTGGCTTGGAGATGGAGGAAGGGGGCCACGAGCCAAAGAATGCGACAGCCTCTACAAGTGGGGAATGACCTTCAGTTTCTATTTAGCAAGAAAACAGCTCTGCAACCACAGGGAACTGAATTCTTCTAACAAGCCAGATGAGTAGGAACCGGATTCTTTCCTGGAACCTCCAGAGGAGAATGCAGCCCCGCTGACCTCCTGATCTCAGCCCTGTGGGACCCCTACAGAACAACTGACCTACGGGACTGTAAGGTCATACCTCTGAGTGGTTTTAAGCCACTATGTCTGCGGTAATTCGTTATGGCAGCATAGAAATTTAATACAGATTTATCTAAGTTTTTAAATTTTCTGTTTGCCACCTATAAGTATAGATAGGGAATTGATTTTTATACGTTGATCTTGTCTCTAGCAACTTCACTTAATTAAGGAATTAATCTATTAATTCCAATACATTCTCTCTAGATTCTTTTGGATTTCCTACATTCACAATTGAATCATTTTCGGATAATGGCAGTTTTATATCTTCATTTCCAATCCATGTAGCTTTTCCTTTTCTTGCTTGACTGTACCGGCTGGATAATGCTCAGAAGTGTGGAGTAGGCATCCTTCTCTCTCTTAATCTCAAAGGAAAAAATTTCAATGTTTCACCTTTAAAAATAATATTTACTGCAGGTTTTTCCAGATACCCTTTATCGGGTTGAGGAAGTTGCCTTCTACTCTTATTAGATGAATTTGTAATTTATCAAATGCAATTTCCTTATTTTCTGACCCCACATACAGTTTTGATTCTTTATTAACATGGTGAATTGTACTGATGGGTTTCCTTTCTTTCCCCCCTTAAAAATCTTTTTTGTGGTGTGAGGGAAGCAGGGGCCTAAAGAGGGTTGGAAAGATAATCAACGGCACATCGTGCAGAACCTTTGTAGACACCATGACAGAGTTTGAATAATATCCCAAAGTGCAGAGGGAAACCATCTGAAGGATTCTAAACAGGGTGGCAATACGACCAATTTTGCAGCTGTGGGGAGTACAGATTGGAGACGGGCCAGTAGTGGAAGCAGGGAGACCAGTGTGGTTCAGACAGAGGATGACGTCTGAGATCATGGTAGATGGGGGTGGAGGTGGATAGATTCCAGGTGAGTGTTTGGAGGCAGAATTGATGGGGTTTGCTACCAGTCTGATGTGGAGGTACTGGGGGAAAGGACGGCAGCAAGGACGGAGGACTCCTAGGTTTCTGACTTGAACAACCAAGTGAACAATACTACTACTGATACAGATGAGAAAGCCTGGGGACGGATGACAGACTCTGAGGTGTGTGGGGGCGACTAAAACGTTGTTTGTTAATATGTTAAACCTGAGATGTAAGACATCTAAATGGAGATCGCAGGAAGGCAGATAACTTTTTTAGCCTGGAGTTCAGGGCAGTATCTGACCTATATCTACAAATTTGGGAGCCATCAGCATACAGATGTTATTTCAAGGCATCAGGAGAAGGTGAAGAGCCCAAAACATTTAGAACTTGGGTGCAGTGGGAGGAGAGAAGCAGAAAGTGCTAATTGATTCCACGTGTATATAAGCATATATATAATATACATATTTAAGGATGGGTAATAGTACAGCTTTAATCTCCTGATCTAGAAGAGGAGAGACTAACAATTTAGAAGGATCAGCAAAGGGTCAAAATCTCTGAGATAATGTAAGGGGACAGGCTGCAAGGCTCAGGTGTAGGGAATCAGCTTGTGGTAGGAGAAATGAGTACAGATGGAGGTAGGTTTGTCTGGTTGGTGGAGGGAAGAGGGAATTGATGTCCCATGGCTTCAATTTTCTCAATGAATCATGAAAATGGCAGAAAAGGGGTGTGAGAAGGTTGAATGTATAAGATAAATGATGTGGGGAAAAGAACAGTAAGCCTATTAGAGAATCAAAGTAGAGTCCTTTGGGAATACTGTGTCCATTTGAGGTCTACATCATGCAAGTGAAACCAGCCAGCTCAGTTGTGTGATTTTCTTGTAGAACATTCAGCTCTTCAGGTGCAGGTAGGAGGCAGATGGAAGGGCTCACCCAGGTCTGGGATCTTGAACAGGGAAGTACCACAGAGGGAGAGAACAAAGAGCCGCGTGTTAGAAGAGGACCGTAATGACGGACTAGGAGAGCATAGGCCAGGAGTGGGCTGACGGATGGAGGGAGTGTTTAATGAGGGTGAAGAATTGTGACTTTGGCGTGTATTCCTGGAAACAGTGTTTAGAAAGTGATGGACTGTGTTGCCTCCAAGAAAACAGGCACCAAGTCTGCACTGTTCCCTCTTGCATTGTTAGCTCCTTACAGCAGCAGGCTCACTGTGTGTGGTCAGTGACACTTGTTGAACCGAATGTAGAGTTGGGAAAAGAATCGATGTCTTGGTCTGATTAGGACATTCATTTTTTACCTCATCTATGCTGCGGAGTTTTGGACCTCTCTGTTGGGTAACGAAGTCTATAAATCAAGATAAATAGCTGAAAAGCATGCTTATTGAAAAATGCGAAATGACCAAGAACTGGGCCAAGAACTCAAATAACGCACAGTCAAGGGTGTTTAAAGACAATTTTATTTGTCCCTTGGTCTTGTGAGGTAGGTATCTTTTTCTCTTTACCTTTGCTAACTTTCTGAGTCTACTCATCCTCTTCCACTTCTTCCCAAGTACAGACATTACATAAGGTTTCCTCTTCTGCCCTCTTCTCACTCTCAGTAGGGGCTGTCCATTTCATGGCTTCAACTCTCACCTTCATGGAGCTAACAAACAAGTCCATATTTCTAGTGTAGCTTTTTCTTTTCTTCTGTCCATTCTCTTCACACCACAGGCTGGGGCTCTCTTCAAATGTGCCCCATCGGTACCGCAGTCTGCAGAGCCCAAACCAAACTCATGTTTTCCCCTTACAACCTTCTCTTCTCCTGGACCTGCTTTTGACATACACAGTCTACCCTGCCCTGCTTCTTCCAAATTCCTGGATTCTTATATGTAAAAAGGGTGCTTGGCAAAGGTAAGGCTTGTAATGGTAGACTCTTTCCTTTGAGGGGAGGGCATGGAGATAGAGGTGAGGAAAAGTTATAAAAATAAAACTTGTACAAAGCACACAAGTTTATTGGGTAAAATTCATAGCACAGGTAATCACTCACTGTCAAGCACATCCGTGGTTGCTTCCTCAGAGTCCAGTCACCTCTTCTGCTAATGGGACCCTGATTTTCCACTGGTGTATTTACTCTCTCAGCCGCTCAAGGCATGTTGAGCTAAATCTCAGCCCCAGAGATGAGCCCAGATTGGCTGAAGACAATCCTATCTCCCTGGTCATAGTGCTGATTCAGAGTTGGGCACAAGCTCTAATTGGGACACTAGGAGCAAAACCCAGGACTGAAGTAAGCGCTTTCGGGACAGATCTTCTTTCTTCCTCTGAATGGGGAATAGGATTGCTGCAATCTGTGACTACATCAAGGCATCCCTCGGGGCCAAGGGGCACCCCCTGTGTGGACTGAAGATGAAATGGACTCTCGAGAAGGGAGAGCAGAGAATCAGCAAGAAACCACATCTTTGGTGACTCCAAGTAGCTGGATCAATCCTTACTTAAAACGAGCACTCCCTCTGACTTCCAGTAGTGAGAGTTCCTGGATTCCGTAGAGCTATCTGAGTCCGATTTTCTGGCACTTGCAATCGGCAGTTCTAATGTATAAACTCACAATCCCAGCGCCCAGAGAGAACCACTGCCAACATTTTGGGTTTAATTCTTCCATACATTTTAATGCATCTATATACACACAATTTCCTTTACTGTTTTACTTTTACAAAACTAAGAAAATATAGATACTTTTCTGAAATATTTCAGTTGATAATATTGTTTACCTCTTTTTATGTTAACCAAATCTATCATTATTAATTACTGCATAATATTCCATTCTAGGAATATACCATAATTTAACAAATTTCCTGTTAAGGTACATTTACATTTTTTCTACTTTTCGTATTATAAATGTGTCACTGTTGTACACTAGTTCTATTATTTCTTTAGGTCCTAGAAGTGAAATTCCTGGATCACAGAAGATGTACATTCTTCGGGCTCTGATGTAGTTTCCCAGATTGTCCTCTAAAAGGAACGCACAATTTATATCCTATCAGCACGGAGATTAGTATGTCTATTGGACAGAGGGAGGTGACGAAAGGTGAAATGCTGGCTAAAAAGAAAACATTCATCTGTTTACTGAATATTTATTGAGTGTCTATTATTTGTAAAACACTGTGACAAGTGCTGGGGATAAATGGTGACCAAGGAGTCCTACACTTGTTTCTCTGCATTCTTCCTTTCCCAGTTATGGCAGGTTTGGGAAAATGTCTAGCTTTCTGGATAAATTAACCACCACCACCTGTCCTGATGTCACATAAATGACATCAGAGAGAACACTCAGGAGACAGGGGAGTTGCATGTTGGCACAGATGGTGACCTCGCTGTAGGGGATATCATTCACCCACCCCTTCCCTCCTATGCTCTCCTGTACGGATGTGGTTAGAAGCCTGGAAACTTGCTTTCTCTTGCCAGCAGGATTCAGCCAAGGGGCTGCCCAGGGGAGGCACTTGTGAGAGCCTAGAAGGCAGGAGGGAGGCAGAGGCTGTTGGGTTCCAGGGAGACACAGGCACCTGTTGAGGCCGTGTGGCAGAGAAGGGACACAGCTGCAAAGGCAGCAGCAGCAGCAGGCAACCCAGAGTTTGCAGAAGCGGCACGGGGGCACATTAGCTGGGGCACACAGGGGCTGCAGCAGCTTCCCCTCACTTCCCACTGCTGGGTAATTCACCCTTCCTCTCTTTCATCCTTTGTCCTGTTTAACAATTTTATAACCTAAATCTCTACATTAAATCCTTCTCTGTTTGAAATATCTAGAATGGTTTTGCTTTCCTTACTGATGGAATAGCCCAACGTTAAAATTATTCCCTTGGGCATGAGTCTTTCCTGAGATCCACACAGCATCTTTCAATAAGTCTAACAGAGCCAGTTTTTCTATAAACAATGGAAGAGACTGCTGGTTGATTTGTTTTTTCCCCAGTTGAACACCAGGTGAATTCAGTGAGTGGCTTTGAGAGGGCGTCCTGTATGAAAAATATGTATCTTTAAACATGAGAATCACACTCAGGAAGGTGAGATACGCACATGACAAGTACATGGGAACTGAAACCAGTCTGAGGGAACAGCAGATCCACAACTTCCCTCTAAAACTTAGCGAATACTTATATACACTGAGAACATATGTATGAACCGGAAAAACAGAAAGCAAAATGGCATGCATCATTAAGATCGTTACCCTTCTCACATGTGCTGAGCGCCATTACAGCTGAACCCACGCAATGAAACGTCCATAGGCCGTGACTCTACCCTCTGCTGCAATCAGAGGGACGTGGGATACTGTTGTTTTATAAAAACCATTAGTTGTAACTATTTTCAGTACAACGGTACAGAAATATTAAATCAACGTATATGCTCCTCTTTCTTTTCGCACTCAAATAAACTCAAGTATGAACACGTTAATCAATTTTTAATGCAACACAATATAAGCTGTCATTTTCACGCCCTTCCTTTGGCCACTGGACCTTCTTTAATCAACAGTGATACTGAAAATAGCTTTGCTGACCCATGTATATAACCACCAAACCTAGAAAAATGGACATCAGGATCATCCGCTTAACTTCTGTCATCTACGTCTTCTCCGTCACTGTCGTCGTCGCAATGGAAGATGTCTCTGAACAGGAAGACTTGCCTGGGGGCTGCAGGAGCCTGCACTTTAGTCCCTTTTCTCTCCAGCTTCTTCTCTAACTTTTCTTTAAGCAACGGTAGACTGGTCTCATAAAGGTAGTCTATAATCTCTAAAGAAAAGAAATTTAATTTTTTTTAAATATTAATGCACACTTTTTATTATGTTAAAATCAGGCAATGGTCTGACTATAAAAAGGCTGCTTATGGAATACTGTTAAACTTTACTTACAGGATGTTAAATCCTCAGAACTAAGGTATTCCCTAGAAAAAGATTAACGGAAACATCAATTGCCTTTCAGACTTGATAGCTGCTGCTTCAAAAGGTGGTTTCACACAAACACTCAATTAAAAAAAAACTTTAGAACACGATGAATTGCTTTTACTTCAGTATGCATCCACACTTCAGCATTTGGTGGTCCTGAACATAAAAGTGGAAAAACGCAGCACTTTGCCAGGAAGCCAAGCTCGTCAATGTCGGGGGTCTGCCGTGCACACCGAGCTCTTTCTTAATCCCCACTGAGGACCATGAGAAGCGGCAGCACCAAAACCAAAATATGCACCGAATAAGGTTCTTTTTGTTCCAGTTGTCAGATTCCACACTAGACCCAAGTGGACTGCAAGGAGGACCAAACGAGAGCCCTGTTTAAGCTTCTGCAATTTTCAAAAGCAAAGGCAATTACGGGCAAAGGAAACAATTCATTCAGAGGGATGGTGTGTGCCTACAAGCGTCTTCTGTGGCCTTTCTCCAAGTTTAACCACCAAGGACTTTGAGGGCTGGCAGGTCTGAGCAACCCCGGTGACTGTTTTCACCTTATCAAAACCTGAGCTAAAAAAAACGCATCCGCTGATGGTGACAGCAGAGGGTGGCAGGGCTGAGGACCCAATATTCATTTCCTAGGCTGGGGGAGAGTAAATAAATGTGGTTCCAAACTAAACAAGGGAGGCCAGAGACTTTCCAACCTCACCTGATGCCTTCTGGCCAAAGCAAGGAAGCATCACGGAAAGTGCTGGGTGGGGACGGTGAGAAAAGGGACTTGAGGAGGAGGAAGAAAAAAGCAGCGCCCCTCGATAAAGGTAGGGGGAGAAGATATGGGGAAAGCCCTGCATTCCTTCCCAAAGGCCAGTTTCAGAGGGGAGCAGAGGGGGTTACAATCTGCACTTTGGCCAAGGGTGGTAGTGGAGAGTGCGGAAAGGACTATGGCTCAGAAGGAGGGTGTCACTTAAGACTTAAAGAAAGAAACCAGGGGTGCAGATGAGCACCCACACCCAGCAGGAGTCCCACAGGCTGTGACCTGACACCTTCATATCTGCTCTAACCAGCCGCCCCGAGCTGGAAGGCAGTTGCAGCGGGGGCAGGGGAGGCCAGGGGTGGGCAGGGGACGGCAGAGGCCCAGGCCGTGGAGGCAGCAGCAAGGTGATTGTGTGACGTGCCTTTTCACAGTTGAGTTAGATGTGCCCACCGGCGACGATGGGAATCAATTTAAACACACTTTCCTGATCCCAAAAGTTCAGCTATGTGGACTGCGGTTACACTTGACAGGATGATTTATCACACAGTAAGCACAACTCAAGTATTTCAAATGGACGAAAACTAGTATCACTTATAGCATCTTAAGGTAAATTGCCTTTGAATGGGAGCGTCCTTTCCAGCACTTTGAGGTCTACAAGACGTATCTAGAAAATTTACTACTGTGTAAAATGAAGACTGCTTAAATGGAATGGGGGCGGGGAGGGCCTGCGGTTTCTCTGTGATCAATTGCTGTAACGCTGTCCTTCAGGCGGCTGAGGGTGTTTCACATTTTCTTCAGACATCGTTAGGCGCCGAAGCTCTTGCAGGACAACTTCGATGCTGTGTGAATTCTGCCACTTCGCCAGCACTGATACAGCTCTTGGGTCCACCACTCCACTGGAACTATTAACTCCATTCATATTAATTTTTGTTACAAATCTTACAAAGGGGGGTGCTTCTGGGTATTTAGGTCCACATTCTATTTTAAGGCTGTGTATTCAGTTTTCATAAATTGTCCGAGCCCGTGGTGGCTGCCATCTTTCATCCAAGAAATTTAACTTTGAAATTATTTGTACAAGCCTCCTCCTCGGGTCAAAGGACACAGGGCACTGGTGATGGTAATGCACTGCTGTTGGCACCACGTGCCAGATTCTCTTCTAACTGCTTTACTTAGATTCAGTCTTTCAATCCTCGCAAAAACCCTGTGAGGTGGACACTATTGTTAACCCATTTTCAAATGAGGAAACTGAGGCATAAAGACATCATGAAACTTGCCCAAAGTCGTGGAGTCAGTAGGGGCCATGCCACGATTCAAACCCAAGAAGTGATATGTGCTGAATGCAAGAAGTACTTCACCACATTCTGCAGGGCACACGCCACCCGAAGCAGTGGGTCCCAAACGCTGCTGCCGGGCAGGCTGCTGAGATTCTCCGTGAGACCGTCAGAGAGACTCCAGTCTCCGGCCCAGCCCAGAGGCCAGGATCCAGTGTGTCCGGAAGGAGGCCCAGGTATGTGTATTTCTATCAAGTTCCCCACGTGACTCATGATCCAAGTTTGGGAATTACAAGTCTAAACCACCCATAAATGGCTGCAAAGAAGGAACGGGGCATCTTATGTTTTTCCAGGAACAGTGTGTGTGCATGCATGTGGTGTGAGTGCGTGTGTGTGAGCATATATTGTGTGCACATGTGTGTGCAGGATGGCAATCCAAAAGCACTTGCAGTCATTTACTGCATGCTTGCTAAGCAGTGAGAACCCTGGTGACACATTTTACACGTCCACTATTTCATCTTGTACTTTTAAAAGTCCTGTCAGGCTGGGATTATAACTTGCCAATTTTCACCATTTACCACTGAAGAAACTGAGGCTCCCAGAAGGTAAGTCACTTGCCCAAGGTCACACTACCAGCGTGTGGCACCATACGCTGTGTTCTTAACTATCCAAATACTAAAAATACTTACCTGGAAAAGTCTTCTTCTGCCAAAAGGGAACACAGGTAGCTTTCAGCTTATAAAATTTAGTTTGAACATATGATGGAGGAACATCACTTTAGAAAAGAAAAGATAAAAAATGGTGTCAGTTTAAAAATTGGTCATTTCAGTGCTGTGTACTAAGTCCATTGATGAAGGTGAGGTATATAGACATACGTGATAAAAACAAGATGCATGTGAAAAGCTATTGTGCATTTGGTTAAAAAACCACACACAAAAGGAAGAAGAGAATAGTACAACAAGATGGATTTGGTTTAAATTAGAATACTGTAAATTATGAGTCTAGAAGACGAGGTACAACACTGGCTCATGCGCTGATGCTGACCACATCCTGGGCCCTGCCCTGAGCCTTCCCCGAGCCACAAACAGTCCTCACGACCACTCCACAAGGGACGTACTACTCTTATCCCTTAATTTGGAGATGGGGAAACTGAGGCACAGCCAAGCTGCCCAAGATCTTACAGCTAATAAGGGGTAGAGCTGGGACAACTGGATGGTCTGACTCCAAATTCTCTTAACCACTCTTAACCACTACAGTTAGGATAAACACACGTGGTACAATTCAAAGGCAGATGTCCCCTGATTTCTTATTTTGCGAAGCTAAAAAAGCAGATGGTTACAATGTTTTCGTGAGTCAAATATGTTTTCCATTAATAATAAGTAAGACAGGGGCTGGCCCCGTGGCCAAGCGGTTAAGTTCACACACTCTGCTTTGGCAGCCCAGGGTTTCGCTGGTTTGGATCCTGGGCGCAGACATGGCACTGCTTATCAAGCCATGCTGAGGCCTCCCACATACCACAACCAGAAGAACCTACAACAGGAATATACAACTATGTACTGGGGGGCTTTGGGAAGAAGAAGAAGAAAATACAAATAAATAAATAAATAAAGATTGGCAACAGATGTTAGCTCAGGTGCCAATCTTAAAAAAGAAAAAAAAGTAAGACAGCATCAACTGAATCTTAAATTGCTTTTTAAATTGAAAATCACTAACTTCACTTCCTGGACACTTCTTCTTAAACAATAAAAGCACGACTAATTTGTTTCAATAATTAACTAAACTGGTGGCTAAAATGATTAGCATGAATAATTCTCTCTGTTAAGTATGCAGAGGTAGAAGATGACTGGGTTCTTTCAACCTCTTCATCTCAGCAACCACTAACTGAACCCCGCTGTGTGCCAGGCACCAGGCTAGGAATCTTCTGTGCCTTACCTCCTTTAGTCCTCATTACGGTCCTATTAAACCCATTTTGTAGATGAGGAAACCGAGGCTCAGAGACAAGTTAGGGAACGAGCTCCCAAGGACTGCTAAATAAAGAGTGGAGTGCCAGGACTCAAGGCCAGGTCTGCCCGACTGCAAAGCCCAAGTGTCAAGGCCTCCATGTCTTCCCTCGTCCCAGCGTGGCGCGCCCAGTGAGACGGCTGCAGACCCAAGCCCAGGCTGTGAGAAGTAACAATAACTGATGTGGACATTTCAAACTAAACAGGTGTTACCTCCCATCAGGTGGAGAGACTTTCTTTAAATCCCGCCTAAATGATTCACAAGGGAGGTCTCAGAATCTGAAGAGATCGCACTTTCAATTATTTTTCACTGTTTTAATTCATTATTAAAACTCTGAGAATATACTACTTCAAACAAAATTTGACTAGATGCCATAATCTATTTTACAGCTTTGAGATTTATAAATTTTAAGTAGAACAATCCATTTTAAACACGTGATTTTACTTAAAATCATTAAAAGCCCCTTTTAAGAAATCACGTGATCTGAAGCAATGTCACAAAATTCACAAAAATTTATTAGAAGAGTCAGATTTTTAAAAAGTGGTTTGTCATTATAAAGGGAAGGATTTGTCCACATGAATACATTTTAGGACAAGAGTTGGTGGGATGCACAGCAGGGTCCCCTTCCTTCAAAGCACCCAACACCCTCAACTCTCAGGGACCCACGATATTGAAGTGTGCACCCCACCCCTCAGATGAGCTAGCAAAGCAAGGGCTTTGGAATCATGGGCATATGTCTGTGACTCCTGGCAGGGCCTGTCATTAAAAGATTCCAATTCTCCAAGTTAAAAAAAAAAAGACCTTGTTCTTGGTTCATAATCCCAAGAGATAACTAACTAACCACCACAACCCAGTTTAAACCCTGCTACTGGATCAATGACAACTCCACGCCAGCAGCCACACTTCAGAAAGGTGGCCAGGCTGCAGCAGCCTTGCTCCCCCGGCCACCCTTCCAGAGCTAGCAGCCACACAATCCCTCAACGCCCCATTTCTGAGAGCCCGCCAAGCCCTGAGCCCCAGGATTCTCAACAATGTGCTTTACTTAGAGGGACCGTGCTTTGCAAGCTGGCTCTCCTGTGCTCAGCAAGCAGTAAATTCCGCTACTGGGAGCGGTGGCCTCTCTTCAACAGCAGGAACTGACTGAAAGTCCAAGCACCACAGCACTGAAGGCTCACAGTGGAGGTACACAGACAGCTGACGGACAGGTGACAGTTCAATCTCACCCCTCGGGTGAGAAATGCAAAGGGACCCCACACCGAAACTGCTGGAGGAAGCTTGAAAAGGAACAAGATCTTCATATGGTCTCAAAATATCTCCCCACAGCCACTTCATATCACTGAGAGACACACTGTTACTTTTAAACAGTGGGAAATGTGACAGACGCCACCAGAACCAAATGACCACAATCAGAACCACGTGTCTCATGATGTGCGGTGACGCGGTGATAAAGACACAGCCTCACCTATGTCACAGTCCTGCCTGAAACGCGAAACTCGAAACTAGTCATGAGGAAACATTTGACAAACTCCCACCAAGGGACAGCCTACAAAAAACCAGCCTAAACTCTCCCACGATTTCAACGTCATCAAAGACAAAGGCAGAAGAGCTTTACAGATCGAAAGACACCAAGGAGACACAATAAACGCAATGTGTGCTCCTAGGTTGGATCTCACGTCAGGGGGAAAATGCTATAAAGGACATTATTGGGACAACTGGTGAACTTGAATGTGGACTGTGTTTTAGAGAATAGTATTGTATCAAAGTCAAATTTCCTGACTATGATAACTGTACTGGAGTTATGTAGAATAACATCCTTGTTTAGGACATGGAGCCCACCACCAACTCTCAAATGGTTAAGGGAAAAAATGTTACTCCCTTGGAGAAGGGAGCAGGAGAGGGAGGAACGAACGATGACGCAGATGTGGCAAAATGGTAACAGGCTGATTATGGGCAGATGGTATGTGGGGTTCTTTGTACTTGTCTTCTAACTTGTTAGCTCTTTGAAGCTTTTAAGAGACTTTGCACACATTTCGCTCACTCTTAGGTACCTTTTGTGGGGTTGGAGTGGAAGGAGGGTTGCTTAATATACTTGGCTCAGTATATAGAGTGGGGGTTCCAAATACGTATATAAACACAATTTACAGATGAATTCCATGTGCAGCATGAATTTCAGCTCTGTTCTTTAAAATCTGATAAGCACTCATTTATGAAAAGTCATCTCTTATCTTCTACTTAGCTTAATATTAAACGGTCTTACCCTATGGTACTAGCAAGATCTTCCCAGTCTATTTCATTAGCATCTTCCACATTTATTTCATACAATCTATGAGAAAAAATAAAAACTAAGTTTTCAAGCAAAAATCAGCATGATGGACATCTTCATGAACTTACCGAATATTAAGAGCTGGAAGGCATGACTGTGTTCGCCCCGTTCCAGCTTCCTCATTACACAGGCCCAGGGAGGCTGGCATGCTAACCCAAGTTTAGCCCAAGGTCACTGAGCTAGTGAGCTACAGACCAAAAAGCCATCTGTCTCCTCCTGAGCCCTTTGCATCTCCCACCAAACCATGCTGCTTTCTCTCACACACAAAAAAACACAACTTCACCAATCAATGTAGACACAGAAAGAGCACACGTGTGTGCTCAGCACTTACTATGTGACAGACACTGTTAAGACCTTTACATCTGCTAATTCATTTACCCTCAACACCCCCTGATGAGCTTGGGGAACTATTTCCATTCCACAGATGAGGAAATGGGGCTAAGAGCCTGAGTTATGGCTCAAGGTTTCATGACTAACAGGGGGTGCCATCACTGGAACCCAGACCTGTCTGACTTGAGATGCCCTCCTCACACCTCTAGTCTATGCTGTCTCCCCAGGAGGGAAAAATGGTGGGGTTACACCCAGCTAGACCAGCATAGAGAAGGAGGAAGCCCACCAATGAAGTTAAAGCAGGGGTCATAACAGAGAGCAGGAAGAACAAAGCTGGACAGGGTGGCCAGAATCCAAACGTTTCTTCTGCTCTTGGCTGTTCCTCATCCCGTATGAGCCCAGGTCCATTAGACTCACAGGTTTTGTTAAACAGTCCCACGTCTCCCCTCCTTCAGGGGAGGAGGACTGTGTGGACCAGGAACCCAAAGACAAAACTGAAAACCAAGCAACAGTGACATCAACGTGCTGGAGGGCAGTCGGGCTCTGCCTGAATTATTTACCTCCATGTTCCAGTGGACGGAAATAACTAATACCCACATGAAAACCTTCAAAGGCTAAAATAACTGCATTCATTGAGCGCGTAGTACACTTTACATGCGTTATTTCATTTCTTCTCCCAGCAACACCAAGAGGCAAGTACTAGTATTATCATCCTCATTTTGGATGAACAAACCAAGACCTACAGAGGCAGGGAACACGTCTGAGGTCATATGTGTAGAAAGTGTTGGAACAAGGATTTGAACCTTAGCAATCTTACTGTAGATTCTGCTGTTTATCAACGACTCTTTGGCTACAGAGAAAAACAGTTATAGTAGTGTCACTTTCTTTTTCTGTACCTTTCAATAAGGTTGATTTTGGCCTGCAGGGCATTAACTCCACGGTATACGTCCCGACCATTTGTCATCCTCTTGGTCAGAATTTCCGTCCTATATTAAAAGAAAGAAAAATATAGTTTACTTTCAGGGGTAAAGTTTCCATTAAAATTTCCTCTATTTTTCTCATCTAAATTGCCCTTGTTCAGAACCACTTTGTAACTTTTGCAATGCATTACTGCTAACATTTACCACCATCAAGAATTAACCTATTAAAAAAAAAAAGTGGGGAGTGACATCAGCAACATGGCAGAGTGAGCAGTTTTGTCTCTCCCCCTTCGAATCTACAACTAATTGGACATTCATTGGTCAACAAAGGATATCCACACATAATCTCAGGATGCCTGAGAGAGCCATGCTGCTATACATCGGAAGGTGGATGGACATCCCCCCGGGAGGAGATGGAGATAGGTGAAAACTCTCTGACCCCCAGACAGCCTAGTACCTGCAAGTGACTTTCTTCCAGTGGACATGCTCATAGCATCACCACGCACCAAGGGTGGGCGTGTGTGCACACCAGTGGAGTGACGGTGGAAACAGGTGACTACAGCCCTACCTAAGCCCCCCGTGATTGCCCCTAAAGCTCAGCGGGAAAATCCACAGTCCCACAGCAGCCGCGGAGAAAGCAGGCAAGGGACACCCAGTGAGCCCCTGTGAGTGAACAGTGGCAGGCTGGAGTCCCAGCAAGCCTGCTCCATGGTCCAGGGGAAAATCCACAGTCCCACAGCAGCCATGGGGAAAGCCTCTACTTGGCATTAGCAGAGAGGCCCTGTCCAGCATTCAGAACACAGGGAGGCTCCAGGACAGGAGGATCCCAGGCAGGGCAGCAGCCCACCAGCCACCTCTGACTCATGTACTCCGGCAGTGTTCCAGAGGGGGCAAGGGACACCCAGTAAGCCCGTGTGAGTGGGCAGGAGCGAGTTGGAGCCCCAGTAGCCCTGCTCCGTGGTCCAGGGGGAAAATCCACGGTCCCACAGCAGCCGTGGGGAAAGCCTCTACTCAGCATTAGTGGAGAGGCCCCGCCCAGCATTCAAAAGATGGGAGGCCCTGGGGCAGGAGGATCCCAGGTAGTGCAGCAGCCCAGCAGCTGCCTCTGACTCATGGTCTCCTGCTGTGGCCCAGAGGGGCAAGGGACACCCAGTGAGCCCGTGTGAGTGGGCAGTGGCAGGTTGGAGTCCCAGCGAGCCTGTTCCACAGTCCAGGGGGAAAATCCACAGTCCCACAACAGTCACACCGAAAGCCTCTGCGCAGCATTAGTGGAGAGGCGCCGCCCAGCAATCACAAGGGTGGAAGGCCCTGAGGCAGAAGTAGCACAGCTGGGTGAGCTGACCACAGACTGCAGTAGATACCCATAGCTCTGCTGTGGCCCATAGTGGACAAGTGAGGTCTTGCGGGCCCTGATGGTGACAGAGCTGCAAGTCTAGGTGAACCTGCTCCCGGCTGCTGTCAAAGCCCATAACACCGCTGCAGACCCTAAGGAGGGAGCACGGCTCAGTGGTCTGCAACAGTAGGCACCAGCAACCTGAGGCCCCCTTACAATTGTCCCCACAGCTGATGAGAGACCCCACAGGACCACTGTGACTATGAGGCGGGGCCCAGGTCTGGTCAGCAACAGCTGACAGGGATCCTGATCGGTGCAGATTAAACAGATGCTCCCCCCCAACTCCAGTAGAAGCAAGTGGAAGCAGTAACTAAACTCTGTCTCTATGCAGAGGCACAAATCCACGCCATCGAGCAGTATGAAAAAATATATGAAATCTCCAGAACAGAAGGAAAATGACAAGTACCCAGAAGACAATCCCAAAGACAATGAAATATATAACCTAAATGACAATGAATTCAAAACAGCCATCACTAAAAAGCTCAACGAGTAAAAGAGAATACAGATAGACAACTCAACAAGTTCAGGAGCTATGTCACAAAAGAGCTTGAGACACTATAAAGAAAAGAAAAACCAATCAGAAATATTGGAGATGAAGAACACAATGGAGGAGATTAAGAAAAATCTGGACTCTCTGAACAGTAGGGTCGATAATATGGAGGACAGAATTAGCAATTTGGAGGATAGGAATATAGAAATGCTGCAGATAGAGAAGGAGAGAGAACTAAGACTAAAAGAAATGAAGAAACTCTCCGAGAATTATGCGACTCAATTAGGAAATGCAACATAAGGATTATAGGTATCCCAGAGGGAGCAGAGAAGGAGAAGGGGGCAGAAAGCCTGCTCAAGGAAATAATGGCGGAGAACTTCCCAAACCTGGGGAGAGAGGTGGAACTCCATGTGACAGAACACAATTGATCTCCAAACTTTATGAATGTAAAAAGACCAACCCCAAGGCATATAGTAGCGAAGCTTGCGAAAGTCAATGACAAAGAGAACATACTAAGGGCAGCAAGGCAGAAGAAAATAACCTACAAAGGAACCCCCATAAGGCTGTCAGCAGATTTCTCAGCAGATACCTTACAGGCTAGAAGAGAGTGGAATGATATATTCAAAACCCTGAAGGACAAAAACTTGCAGCCAAGAATACTCTATCCAGCGAAAATATCCTTCAAATATGGTGGAGAAATAAAAACTTTCCCAGATAATCAAAAGTTAAGGGAGTTCAGTGCCACAAGACCTCCCCTACAAGAAATGCTCAGGAAGACCCTCATACTTGAAAAATCAAAAAAAGGAAAGGGGTTACAAAACCCAGAGCAAAGGAGATAAGTAGAAAGACAAGATCAGAAAGCTGCAGCTCTCCATCAGAACAGGTTAGCAAAAGTTAAGTATAACATTAACGATAAAAAGAAGGGAAACACCAAGAATAAATATAATCTTGTCATTTTAACCACAAACTCACAACACAAGAAGAAAAAGAAAAAAAAAATCTGACAATAACAACCTAGAAGGGGAAGAGGTAAGGGATGGAATGTCTTAAGAGGCTATCAGAAAATGGACTATCTCATCTATGAGATGTTTTATACAAACCACCTGGTAACCACTAAACAAATAACAAGAATAAAGACACAAATTACAAATAAGAAGAAAGCCAATACAGAAATCTACCTACCTGAATTACTAGTCCAAAAATCATGGGACGAGAAACAAAGGAAATGTGAGAGAACCGGAAAAACAAGTGATAAAATGGCAGCAGTAGGCCCCCACATTTCAATAATCACCCTAAATGTAAATGGATTGAACTCTCCAATCAAAAGACACAGAGTGGCAGGATGGATTAAATAACAAGACCCAAGAATATGCTGCCTCCAGGAAAAACACCTCAGCCCCAAGGACAAACACAGACTCAGAGTGAAGGGACGGAAGACAATACTCCAAGCTAATAATGAACATAAGAAAGCAGGTGTCACCATACTTATATCAGACAAAGTAGACCTCAAAGCAAAACAGATAAAGAAAGACAAAGAAAGGCAGTTTATAATGCTAAAAGGGACACTCCACCAAGATGACATAACACTTATAAATATATACACACCCAACACAGGAGCACCAAAATTTGTAAAGCAACTATTAACAAAACTAAAAGGAGATATCAACAACAATACAATAATAGTAGGGGACCTCAACACCCCATTAACACCAATGGATAGATCATCCAGACAGAAAGTCAACAAGGAAATTATAGAATTAAATGAAAAATTAGACCAGATGGACTTAACAGATATATATAGAACACTCCATCCAAAAACAGCAGGTTACACATTCTTCTCAAGTGCTCATGGAACATTCTCAAGGATAGACCATATCTTGGGAAACAAAGCAAGCATCAATAAATTCAAGAGGGTTGAAATAATATTAAGCATCTTTTCTGATCATAATGCTATGAAACTAGAAATCAACTACAAGAATAAAGCTGGGAAAGGGGCAAAAATGTGGAGACTAAACAACATGCTACTGAACAAACAATGGCTTACTGAAGAAATTAAGAAAGAAATCAAGTATTATCTGGAGACAAATGAAAATGAAAACACGGCATACCAACTCATTTGGGACACAGCAAAAGCAGTCCTAAGAGGGAAATTCATGGCAATACAGGCTCACCTCAATAAACAAGAAAAAGCTCAGATAAGCAATCTCAAATGACACCTAACAGAATTAGAAAAAGAAGAAGAAACAAAGCCCAAAGTCAGTAGAAGGAGGGAAACGATAAAAATTAGAGCAGAAATAAACGATATTGAAACAAAAAAGACAGTAGAAAGGATCAATGAAACAAAGAGTTGGTTCTTTGAAAAAATAAACAAAATTGACAAACCCTTAGCCAGACTCACTAAGAAAAAAAGAAAGAAGACTCTAATAAATAAAATTAGAAACGAGAGAGGACAAATCACAACGGATACCACAGAAATACAAAGGATCGTAAGAGAATACTATAAAAAACTATATGCCAACAAATTGGACAACCTAGAAGAAATGGATAAATTCTTAGACTCTTACAACCTCCCAAAACTGAAGCAGGAAGAAATGGAGAATCTGAATAGACCAAACACAAATAAAGAAATTGAAACAGTAATCAGAAACCTCTCCAAAAATAAGAGTCCAGGACCAGACGGCTTCTCTGGAGAATTCTACCAAACATTCAAAGAAGATTTAATACCTATCCTTCTCAAACTATTCCAGAAAATTGAGGAAGATGGAGCACACCCTAACACATTCTATGAAGCCAACATCACCCTGATCCCAAAACCTGACAAGGACAACACAAAGAAGGAAAACTACAGGCCAATATCACTGATGAACATAGATGCAAAAATCCTCAACAAAATTTTGGCAAACCAAATACAACAATACATTAAAAAGGCTATACACCACGATCAAGTGGGATTTATACCAGGGACACAGGGAAGGTTCAACATCCGCAAGTCAATCAACGTGATACACTACATTAACAAAATGAGAAACAAAAACCACATGATCATCTCAATAGATGGAGAGAAAGCATTCGACAAGATCCAACATCCATTTACGATAAAAACTCTCAATAAAATGGGTATAGAAGGAAAGTACCTCAACATAATAAAAGCCATATATGACAAACTCACAGCCAACATCATACTCAATGGGCAAAAACTGAAAGCCATCCTTCTGAGAACAGGAACAAGACAAGGGTGCCCACTCTCACCACTCTTATTCAACATAGTACTGGAGGTTTTGGCCAGAGCAATTCGGCAGGAAAAAGAAATAAAAGGAATCCAAATAGGCAGTGAAGAAGTGAAACTCTCGCTGTTTGCAGACGACATGGTCTTATATATAGAAAACCCCAAAGAATCCATAGGAAAACTATTAGAAATAATCAACAGCTACAGCAAAGTTGCAGGGTATAAAATCAACATACATAAATCAGTAGCATTTTATACTCTAACAATGAACTAACAGAAAAAGAACTCAAGAACTCAATCCCATTCAAGATCGTGACAAAAAGAATAAACTACCTTGGGGTAAATTTAACCAAGGAAGTGAAAGACCTATACAATGAAAACTACAAGACTTTCCTGAAAGAAACTGATGACGACATAAAGAGATGGAAAGACATTCCATGTACATGGATTGGAAGAATAAACATAGTTAAAATGTCCATACTACCTAAAGCAATCTACAGATTCAATGCTATCCCAATCAGAATCCCAATGACATTCTTTACAGAAATTGAACTAAGAATCCTAAAATTCATATGGGGCAACAAAAGACCTCGAATTGCTAAAGCAATCCTGAGAAAGAACAAAGCTGGAGGTAGTATCACAATCCCTGACTTCAAAGCATACTACAAAGCTACAGTCATCAAAACAGCATGGTACTGATACAAAAACAGGTGCACGGATCAATGGAACAGAATTGAAAGCCCAGAAATAAAACCACACATCTATGGACAACTAATCTTCGACAAAGGAACTGAGGGCATACAATGGAGAAAAGAAAGTGTCTTCAACAAATTGTGCTGGGAAAACTGGAAAGTCACACGTAAAAGAGTGAAAATTGACCATTCTTTTTCACCATTCACAAAAATGAGCTGAAGATGGATTAAAGACCTAAAGATTAGACCTGAAACAATAAGTCTTCTAGAAGAGAATATAGGCAGTACACTCTCTGACATCAGTATCAAAAGAATCTTTTTGGACACCATAACTCCTCAGACGAGGGAAACAACAGAAAGAATAAACAAATGGGACTTTATCAGACTAAAGAGCTTCTTCAAGGCAAGGGAAAACAGGATTGAAACAAAAAAGCAACCCACTAGTTAGGAAAAAATATTTACAAGTTATCTATCTGACAAAGGGTTAATCTCCACAATATACAAAGAACACACACAGCTCAACAACAAAAAATCAAACAATCCGATCAAAAAATGGGCAGGGACATGAACAGACATTTCTCCAAAGAAAATATACGGATGGCCAACAGACACATGAAAAGATGCTCATCATCGCTAATCATCAGGGAAATGCAAATCAAAACTACACTAAGGTATCACCTTACCCCTGTAAGAATGGCAAGAATATCCAAAACAAAAAGTGACAAATGTTGGAGAGGTTGTGGAGAAAAAGGAACCCTCATACAGTGCTGGTGGGAATGCAAACTGATGCAGTAACTATGGAAAACAGTATGGAGATTTCTCAAAAAATCAAAAATAGAAATACCTTATGACCCAGCCATCCCACCACTGGGTATCTATCCAAAGAACTTGAAATCAGCAACTCCAAAAGTCCTATGCACCCCTATGTTCATCGCAGCATTATTTACAATAGCCAAGATGTGGAAGCAACCTAAGTGCCCATCAACTGATGACTGGGTAAAGAAGATATGGTGTATATATACAATGGAATACTACTCAGTCATAAAAAAGGATAAAATTGTCCCATTCACAACAACATGGATGGACCTTGAGGGTATTATGTTAAGTGAAATAAGCCAGATAGAGAAAGACAAACTCTGTACGACTGCACTCATATGAGGAATTTAAACATGTGGACAGAGAACTGATTGATGGTTACCAGGGGAAAGTGTGGGCAGGGGGAGGGCACAAAGGGTGAAGCGGTGCACCTACAACGTGACTGACAATAATGTACAACTGAAATTTCACAAGGTTGTAAACTATCATAATCTCAATAAAAAGTTTTAAAAAAAGTGGGAAAGGATAAATAAAATGATAGAAAGTTGATGGTTATTGAAACTGGATGACGGATAGAAGAAGTTCTAAGTTTGTGTGTGCTATAAGATTTCCAGAAAAACATTTAAAAAAGGGGGGAAAAAGAATAAGCATATTAGCAGATGCTAAAGGACACCATGTAAACTCAGTTTACTTTTCATTGTTTCTAAAGCAGATGGATATTACTCTTATCATACCAGCTGCTGGAATGTCAAATAAGACCAATTTAGTAAGGTGATAAATGATTTGACGACTCCTCTAATGCCCAGAGTTAACGGCTGAACTAGAGCGCTGAGCGAAGTTCCAATGAAAGCAGCCACAGGTCACGAGCCGCTGGTGATCCACATTCTTGATTAGGGAGACACGTGATACACACAGTAATTGACACCAATGTTTTTATTCATAGCCACTCAAGCTCACAGGTTTGAAGTGTATCACCTGAGGTGGTTTCAATGTTATATGAAGTAAATACAGGTTCAGGGTTCAAGCTTCCTCCTTTTTTCTTCAAATTAAAAAAGAAGTCTTTTAAAAAAGAAGTCTCACACGTTCACTGTGTTGACTCCGAAGGAGAACCACCTTCTTCATTGCCCCTTTTCCACACTGACATGTCCTCCTCCAACTGAGGCTTACAACCCCCTCTCCTCCCTTTTTCAGTCTAAAATATAGAGCTAGAAAGGGCTCTGGTTCCTCCTTATTATACACTTTTCCCCCAAAACATTATCTGTTCTTTGGAGTTCATTTCCTTGAGTGTAGTCTTCTACGAAAATAAACTCTACAACAGAACTGTAAGGTACATGTTTATGTACCTTACAGCACCGTAACAGTATACAGTATACAACATACAGCACAATCCAGGAGTTTGCTTTTAACATAAAATACACCTACTCTGGGCTTATTCTCATCTGCTCCTCCAGCTGACCGTGCTCCCCTCGTGCACGAGCTGTGGGTTGTGAGCCGTGGAACTACTGCTTCAAGAGGTCACGGTGCAGCTGCACACCCCTCTCAGGGCGCCAGCTCCGAGACCCTCCGGGGCTGGGAAGAGTGACGCCAAGCAGAGAACGCACAGCAGGAGCAGGACTGAAACACCTGTGTGACGGATGCACCTAAAGAACTTCTAGGATGAAGAGTATGGTGGCCTCGCTTTAGGTGAAGACAGAGGAACTGCTGAATTAGAGGGCAAAGTTCAAAAGGCAGAGCTATTACCACTCACTGCGCTTGTGATTTCTCTCCTGGATGTTAGTTTTGTATTTTTTTTTTTTAATGCTGCAAACAGATAACTAGCTTGTTTTACTGAAGACTTAGAAAGGGACAGAAGGAAGAAAGCATAAGGCAATATTCAGTATTAAAAAGGTTCAGCTTCTTTATGAGGAAGCCATACGATGACTCAGGGTTAGTTCAGTGCTAACTTAAATCAGATTTTGACACTGAAGTGGCTGCAGCAGTGGACTGGAGGTGATCACAGCTGACATGTGAGGCTTCCCACACGGCAGTTACACAGATGTTCTTAGTAACCACCAATCTGCCCACTGTATAGACACTGCTGTGAGAGAGAGAATAGCATGTTGAAATTTATCTAAGATGCCATAAAACTTACCACTTACTTTTACACTGCATCCAGTTTCTGGTTTCTACTTTAGCTTCCACTTCTATCCAGGATATGCCCTTGTAGAGTTTTTCCCGAACAATTGACAGGCAGCTTTCAGGATTTTCTTGGAGTCTAGAATCCACCTCTTTTAACTCCCGGGGAGACATCTTCTTTAGAATCACTTCTTCAACAGCCTTGATGAGTTTCTGGGTTTCCGTCTTACTCCAAGCACCACGATTTCTTTCTACAGACACAAAAGGATGGTCTTATAGATGCTAATCTATTTGCTTTCAAACACAAGGTTAAAAAAGAAACGATAATGATGGAGACAGGTCATTCCACATTTGTCCAAACCCACAGAAGGTACGACACCAAGAGTGAACCCTAACGTAACCTGTGGACTCTGGGGCATCAGGACAGGTCAATGGAGGTTCGTGCATTGTTAACAAATGTATGTCCCACTCTGGTGGGGGATGTTGATACTGGGGGAGGCTCTGCATGTACGTGGGCAGGGGATATATGGGAAATCTCTGTACCTTCCTCTCAATTTCACTGTAAACCCAAAACTGCTCTAAAAAAAATCAAGTCCTAACAAAACAATAAATCGGGCACTTTTTAGAAGACAATGGGCATCTCAATTACACAAACATAAAACTATCCAACAGTTACATGCAAATTAAAATGAAACTACTAAAGTGGCCATAGATTCTTTATTTTTTTGAGGAAGATTAGCCCTGAGCTAACATCTGCTGCCAATCCTCCTCTTTTTGCTGAGGAAGACTGGCCCTGAGCTAATGTCTGTGCCCATCTTCCTCTACTTTATATGTGGGATGCCTACCACAGCATGGCTTGCTGAACGGTGCCATGTCCGCACCTGGGATCTGAACCTGCGAACCCTAGGCCGCTGAAGCAGAACAGGCGAACTTAACCACTGTGCCACTGGGCTGGTCCCCATAGATTCTTTTTACGAACCAATGCCAGAAAACCCCTTTCTTAAAGCAATGTATGTTTCTTAACTTCAAAAAAGCTGTTCTTCCTGTTTCTGAGAGTTATGTCTCCTGCATGAAACTATGAGATTCCCAAACATTTAATGGGAAACAAACAATCAAACGCCTTCTTTGTGACGTACACAACCCTCCCCGAGAGTTCCCAGTGTGAAATGAACAGCTGCACCTGAGACTCGCTGAAGCCAGTCATCGAGGAAGGTGTCAGAAGCATCTACGCTTCACCCCTCCTTGTCTGGACATTCACAGTCAGGCTGAGGAAAAGGCGTCAAACTGGCAGCCTACACATGTCTTTGTTTTGGCCCAGAGTGTTGTTACTTTTCCCCAGTGACAAATTGGATGAATATTTAAAAATCAAGAGAGTTTCAAGAAAAAGAAAGATATCTAGATTTCTCACACATACACACAAATCCAGATTTTTGCATTACTTTTTGGAAAGTGGAAGAAATGGCCAGATCAGGGCTTCATACAACACCTGTGGCTGGAGTTGATGGCCCAAAAGGCACGGTCTCCAACTCACCCCAGGGTCTGCCATGCACCGGCCATGCAGACGCCCGGCTGCCCAGCCTGCTGCATTGCTCTGCCCATGCATCTGGAGCATGTGAGCCCCCAGGCCAACAGTAACACCAACTAAGGACTATCTTAAAGCAACTGGGGATTTTTTAATGCAAAGAATATAACCAAGGAAACTTTTTATGAAAAAGGAGAAAAAGAGACAGGAGATCACCAGCTCTGGTTCTGGGAAAAGTTCCTATCTAACAGGGAACTGAACAGCATCCATCCCTCCCATGGTCTCTCTAGCCACCTTGGGGAAGGGCCCCCCTCTGACCAGGCTCTCCTACCCACCAGCTTCCTTGGGTATCAGTCTACTTGGCAGCTACAGGCGTGCTGAAAGCTACCGAGCTGAGGTGTGGTAGGAATCAGTCTTGGGAATCAAGGTTGTACAGCTTCATAAATACACATGAAGAAATGAAATGAAATGAAATACTGATTCATGGCTTGAATGGCTTGAGAAACGTTGGCCGTCACAGAAGACAGGCCTGCAAGGATGCCTGGGCACGGGGTGGTCGCGGGCTGGCGCAGGCCTGTCGGGCTTCTCCATTCGCCCAGGCGGGCGCAGGAGACAGCTTACCGCTGCTGATCTGGGAGAACTTGAGCGCAACGGAGAGGCTGCTCCGAGCCACCATCTCACCGATCTTTTTCCAATCGTTCCCGTGGAGGGAATGGTATATCTTTAGTTTCTCGGCATCTCCTTTGCTATACCTAAGAGAAAGGGAAAACGTGTTACAATTCTGAATTAACTACAAGATTAAAAGCTGTATTCTCATTGCCATCTACTGGAGTCCTGGGAAAAGCTGATCGGGCTGGGCCCTCAGGAAACCCAGTTCAGCTCCAGTCCTACTGATGACCTCAGCTCCTGTCACTTTGTCTCGGCGCCTCAACTGGGGTCATCCTACAGATCAATCACCACAGTTCCCGCCAGAGGCCTGGCTCAGTCACACAGAGGCCAGGGCAAATGATCAGATCACATTATTTCCCATCCAAGCCCTTAGAGGCTTTGCTTTTCACGCACAACAAAATACAACCTTCCTAAGGTGGCTGCAAATCCCGGTGCCCTGTGCGGTTCAGCCCACCAGTCTTCTGTGAGGCCTTTCTGCCCGCAGAGCCTCTGTACCTGGGATGGAAACGGCCTTCCTCCACCCCGCCCAGACAGCTCCTGCCCTCTTCAGATGTGGCTGACCGGCCCGTCTTCACTGAGGGCTTCCCCGCCTAGCTAACCCACTGTGGCTCTCTCCTGGGGACACTCCGCTTCTCTCACTGCACTTGTTACGAGTTACAAGTACACATTCAGGGGTTCCTTGTTTATCTGTCTCCTCCTCTAGGCCAGCGCTGTCCAACAGAAAGATAATACGAGCCACTGATGTCATTTAAAACCTTCCAGTGGTCACATGAAAATGAATTTCATTGAGTTTTAATGAATTAATAATGTATTTTATTTAACCTAATATTTTAAAATGCAATCATTTCAACATGTAATCAGTATCTAAAAGTATTAATGAGATATTTCACATTTCCTTCATGCCAGGCCCTCTAAATCCAGTGTGTATTTTCCTGGTACACCACAGCTCGCTTTGGACGAACTACATTTCAAGTGCTCAGCAGCCACATGAGGCTGGTGGTCATGGCAATGGACAGCACAGGCCTGGAGGGACAGTCCTACAAGGGCAGGGACCCTGTTGGTTTGCTACACTATGGTATCCATAATGCTTGACAGACAACAGACATTCATTCAAAAGTGACGAATAGCCTAACACAAAAGTAACTATTTAAGGAATTTTGGGGCATTAATCCCATATAAAAGCAAACGTATTCAAGAAGAGAACTGAAAAAGCACTATAATATAAGTGGATTTTGAGATTAAACACCTTACGTGTTTAAGTGAAGACAAAGCAATCTTCACAACATCCTACAGTTCCTCACGTGCGGACTGGCGTTTATGTTATTACTAACGCGACACAGAAGCAGCCCTAGTCAAATACTAACCATTTCTGAAGGCAATCCAGAACTACCTCAGATGACACGATCCCCGCAGTCTCAGAAATTCTCTATAGATGCAGACTATGGTGAATAGAGACTGGGAATCCCTCACTAGTAAGGATCAAGCTTTCTAGTAGTTTCCTTCTCAAGGCAATCAGAGTCCTTCTGAGATTAAAAAAACCTAAAGGCACCCTCGAAGCAACAGAAAAGAGGACATCAGAGAGAAACAGCGTACAAAGCAGGGAAACAGGTGTACTGCCCTTTCAAGCCTTGAAATTCCTTGATTTTTGACTTTCCATGGTTTTTTTCAGTTAAGAATTCCTTAAACTGGACAAATATTCTCAGGGTGAATGGTCACAACACAAATAATATGGTACAAAATAATGAACTTCATTAGAACGACAGACTTTTAGTACTCTAAAACCTTCATTCCCACATTTATATCACAGGTAGAAAAACACATTACCTCAGCTGCCACCATTAATTTACCAAAAGAATTCTGCTAAGTCCCATTTAAAATGTCACCCTCAGTGAATTTCCTTAAAGGTTCTGTCCACACTTGCCCACCGTTGGGGCTTGGGAAAGAGGGCGGGGTAGGTTTCAGTCTGCCTGGGGGACCTTGCCTCAACCTAAGGTTTATTCACATCAGTAAAAACTACAAAACAAAACAAAACAGAACACCAAGGTCCTATCAACGCCTGAAGCTCAGATGACGTGTCTGTCCTGGTTTAGAACCTGTAGCTCAGTAGAACTCAAACGGCTCTGCTCGATTCACGGTCTGCTGCCCAGAGCGAGGCCAAGTGGCTGGGCCACTGGAGGCTGCGTGGGCCTCAGAGGCAGGAGCTGATGCTTCCTTGCTTATCCGTTTGTCCTTGAGCAGAGCGCTCACCCACAGCCAACAACTACATTTCACCTACGTTTGTTTTATTCAGAATGTTGGAAACAAACTATAATTGGGTATTTTATTAGGAAAAAAGGGAGAAGAGAATGCCCATCTCCACATGAAACACTCTGCACTGACACCACCGAATCACACTTAAATGACCTCATGCTAGTGAGTACCTCCCTCTTCAAAAATGTACTGAAAACCCAAAGAACGGGGCAAGTGCTAAAGGGAACACCACATTGAGAAGGAACGTCTGGGTTCACCAGGAGCTTACAAGTCAGCAGAGAGCAGAGAAAACTTCACAAGCAACATAGAGAAGCAGAGCATGCTGAGCGCGAAAATGAAAGCATAAAGAAAAAGCTGAGGACTCCCAATGGCGAAGATCTCAAAAGGCTTACAAAAGAGGCGGAAATTGAAACGGGCCCTGAAGACACACACTTGACAGCAAATACACACTCTGGTTGCACACACAAAAATCTTCATGACATTTTCTGTTTTAATCTGTTCTTGTCGACATTTGGATCCACAGCATCAGTAAAGACGAGAGAAATGTTCTGTCTCAAGGTGCTAAGACTTTTTTCTTACCTGCCTTTGTGTTTTTTTTAATTTTTATTTTTTTGCTGAGGAAGATTCGTCCTCAGCTAACATCTGTTGCCAGTCTTCCTCTTTTTTTTGCTTGAGGAAGATTAGCTCTGAGCTAACATCTGCGCCAATCTTCCTCTATTTTGTTTGTGGGTCATTGCCACAGCATGGCTGATGAGTGGTGTAGGTCCATGCCCAGGATCCAAACCCACGAACCCAGGCTGCCGAAGTGGAGCATGTGAACTTAATCACTACACCACGGGGCCAGCCCCTCTTACCTGCCTTTGTAATTATTGACATCGAACATCTTCTTTGCTCGATAGTATACGAGTTTCCAGGGCCGGGCAATGCCCTTACCTGAAGTCAGAAGAAAGGCAGTCAGAGGGCCATGCAGAGCATGGCATGAAATGCAGTCACAACCATAACAGGACCCAGAGTAGCCCCTTTAACAACACTAACTACCCCAGACCCTGTGTAAAGGCTGGGATTTCAGAAGTCCTGCAGAAAGCTATCTTGAGGAGCAGATGTACAAAATCACCAGTTTCCTTGGAGGTCTCTGAAAACTAGATGCTCAGTATGTAGAGGCTCCAGCTTCTAGCCTACTGAATTCGTGGAAAAGACTCTTATAAGGCAAAGTAATTTCAACATAATTTGATTTAAGAGGAAGGGATGCTAAGGCGGGGGACACATGCCAACAGTTTTCCATGAGATAATCAAAAAAACTTTCCAAACAAATAAGCTTTTCTAGCTTTCCCCCTCTAAAGATGAAACAATCCCTCAACAGGGCTCACAATTCTGTTTTCCTTTGTGCATTCCAGAGAACGCCTAAGAAATTATCCTCTTTAAGTTTAAAAGAGATTTTTTTTCCCCCTCCAATCCTATATTGTTTCATGACCTTCCAACTTTCCAAGCGTCACCTCCAGGAGGAGGGTGCCAGCCACGAAGCACATAACGGCTACTCTTAACTCAGGAGAGCCTGGTGCATAGAAGCATGTGCTTTGTGCAATATATGCAAAATCTATGTAACAAAGAACAGGAAGAGAAACCAAAACTGCAATTATCACCAAGTAGGAAAGCTAGAAGTTGATTATTTAATTTTTTATAAAATCTGTAAAAGCACTATACTTAGGAGACATGAACACATTCCAAACCCCCAAAGGTACAGGCTGGCAACAAAATACTGTTAACCATAGCAGCAGTTACCATGCATCGCAAGCACGGAATGGGCCAGGCGCTCTGCTGAATTCTTACCATGGCTCATCCGTTTAAGGTTGGAAGGCTGTGGAGGATCAAAGAGTGAACAGTTGCAAACTTACCAATGTGCAATCTAAATGAGTATTTTCTTTTTAAATCGGTGATCATGGATTTCTCCTCTGGGTATCTGTCTGTGTACAGAAGCTTGTCTGCATTCTCAATTCCTGTCAGGGATAGAAACTCTTGCACGTTTTTCTCTAACTGCTTATTTTCCTTTACAGAAAACTTGCCAAATTTAATAGCGACACCTAGGATTTGGGTGGGGAGAAAAAGTACGTACTGTCAATAATGAAGAAAAGCAGACTTAGCCCGTGGGCGTCAGCAATTACAGTACAGCGGCCTGGCGGCTCCTCCCTGCGGGGAGCGGCCCTGGCCCGTGCACCCGGCACTCGCTCTCCCAGTCCCCACCGTGGAACTCGGCTTTCCTTCAGAGGTCAGCTCAGGCCACGCTCTTCTCCCCAGGTCTTCCCTCGTCATCCCGTTGCAAACTGACTTTTCCTGATTCATCAATCTCTTTTTAAAATAGTTATTTTTTATATTAAAAAGTAATATATATTCATTAAAAATTCAAACAGTATTGAAATAAAAGTTTAAAAGATGTCTCCCTTTTACTCTCCTCTACTCCCTCTAAGGCAGTCTGTGAATTGGTGGGCATGAATGCGAATACTTATGTATATTCTCTATGCAGATATATTAGGGAGAGGGGTGACAATCTCATTGCTCTTTACACTCTATTTGTCTTCGTAACTCAAAGCACTCAAGTTTCATTATTGAAATGCAGTAGTGATTGCATTTTACAGTATATTTTTCTATCCTTAGGTTTATTTTAAAAATATCTCATAAAATACATACTCATGAAAATTTCAACATAGAATACACAAATAAAATGGGATCATTCTACAGATATGGCTCTATAAATTGTGTTTTTCTCACTTAATTTGTCTATTTTTAAAAACTACTCTCTTCAACATGATGAATTCCATATGGCTAAGGCCCCTCTTTTTACTTTTTTCAATGACTGCTGGTACTGGGCCTCACACAGCAGACACTTGATAAACATTGCTCATTTGCAGTATACAGCTTTAGATCTATAGTTCATTCTTAAACCCAATAAGCTTTCTGGGAGGTTCTTGTAACACAGTGAAATGAAGGAGGAGACCAAGTTGTGTCTTGCAGGAAACCATGCCCACTACAACCAGCATGCCCTCAAATTAACATCTCGGGGAAAGACATTACACCTCATCGAAGTTGATGATGTTAATATGAGCATTTTAATTTTATTTTACTTCTGTATCCTTCCTAGTGTCGCAGCCAATTAACCTCCTCTTTGTCTTCTCCAGGAGTGCTCTGCTAGTCTGTGGATTATCTGGGTCTTTCAGCCCCATTCTTCCTTGTCTCCTCCCAGAAGCTGGGCAAAGAGGAGGAAAACCAGTGCCTTTCATTTTGCTAATTTTACAGCTCAGACAACAATTCTAGAAGGAGATAAAGCTGAAAGAATTCTTCTTGTGAACCTACAAATCCGAATGTTTCACAAAAGAAACTCAGGGCTTAGTTATAAGCATAGAAAAGTCCAACAAATATTGAAGTTCCGCAAACTCACCCTGCGCTTTAAATTCTTTAAACCGTCCCAAGTCATCCCGATACAGGCGCTTGATTGTGGTGGCCGCCCGCTCCCTGATGTCAGGAATGAACTCTTGGAGCTGCTTCACGGCAGAATCCAAATCCACATCAGAATCAACAGAATCTCTCGAATCTTCAGATAAATACTTTGTCTCAGAATCTTTAGCCGATTCCAAATTGCTTTCTTGTTCACTTGTAGGTTCTAACCTAAGGGGGAAAACTGGACTGTTAACGTTAATATATCGCCTGCCCTGATGGCTTTTAAATTCTTTTCTTAAAATGACTGTCACTTAGGCTACGACAGCATTAAAGCTAGAAGAGATCTTGGAGTTGATCCAGTCTCTGAAATCTGAACTCTTTCATGTAACTTCGCTAATTTGCACATCCCCCAGAGGCTGCCGAGAAGGTGAACCCACCACCCTAAGCCCTCTGTCCACCACGTATTACTTCTCATATTACCATGTCTCAATGTTTTTGCTTTAGACATTGACTTCCTAATAAGCTAAGCCTTCTTTTACCTGCAGTGACACTCAAGACACCGCTCCCTGACCCTTCCAATGAGTTAAGTTTACAATGATGATTGCTAATTAGTTAAATCAATTCAGGGTTTACATGGTTACAGTTGCTTTGCTGCTGTTAATAATGGCCACATTTTTTCCCTTGGCTTAGTTTTCCATGTATCGACCGCTAATTCACGCCCAAACTCTCTGCCAGATGTCCAAATCTCCTCTTAGTACGTTCAATTGTATCAGCTACCCACTCGGACAGGAAACTGAAAACAAAATTGTGTGCATTTGTTTAAGCAAAGGGTCAACAGCTTTCAGAGGGCCCATGTAATACAAATTAAGAACCACAGTCCCAGAACATTCTTGCCTCACTTTCAGTGTTCTGAAAATGTCCTTGATACGATGGCCCAGCGATGACATGAGTGGGCCCACAACCATTATCAATTCCACCTCAAGCGGGGCCCACTCCCACTTAACATCTACGTGAAACTATTTAAAGCCAGGACATCTTAACAAATGTGAGAAAGTCACTGAGCAAAAATGGGGAGAAAATCTGTCCCAAGTCCCAGGAACTGAGATAAAGTGGTTAAAAAAAATTCCTGCATTTATTCACCAGACAGTATATTTAAATGATAATTATATAAATAATGATATCTACATTTCTTTTATTAGTGAGAACCCTAATAAAAGTTTTTTTCCTGCTCTGTAACATTCTAAGTTATCTAATCCCTTCTTCTGTCTATATGCATAGAGACAAACAAAAGTAACTGGGGGGGGGGGGTCTTAAAATGCCTTCTAAACTTATTCACAGGATTTCAGAGCTGGAAGAATTCTTAGTGAAAATCTAATCTAACCGCCTATTTCATACACGAAGAAAGGAAGCTACCTGCCAAGTTCACTCGGTTGAATGTGTACACTGATCTGTACATTTGATGGTCTCTTTATGATTTCTGCCATTTACCGTGTTCGTGCTGAATAAAGAGGTCACGGGCAGAATTCCTACAAAAGACGCCCACCCTGTGAAGGCACAGCATTCCCACGTTACCTGTGCACCTCTCCGGAACAGGCCTCTGTTTTCTCCTCTTGTGGCCTGGGGCTCGCACTTTCTTCCATCAAGGTACCATTACCTTCCGGTGAATCAAAGGGTGTGTCGTCAAAGCCCGCAGTGAGCACGGAAAGATCACCAGATGCGACGGCACTGTCAACAGACGACCTTCGCTTCCTCTTCTTGGACTTTTTCTTCACCTTGTGGGCCTTCTCCCTGCCTTCTGCAGTCTCGACCTCACCGACCAGCGGCAATGCCTCAGAGCACGTGTTCTCAGGACTCTCGGGCACAGCCAATACCTCAAATTCCTGGTCATCTGAAATTTTTCTCTTTTTTTTCTTAGACTTCTTTTTACCAGCAGATGCTGGTAGTTGTGTGATTTCACCTTCTAGGTCTGCAGAAGGCAGGGATTCCTGCTCGTGTGATTCCGATTGGGGTGGGGCGATGCTCGCACATAAGCTTTCCTCTAGGGCGTCACAAGATTCAACTTTCCTCCGACGTTTTTTGTTCTTTTTTTCCCTAACTTCATTGTGCAGTCCTTCTGACTCATTTTTACGTGACTTAGTAACTGAAAGTGGTTCATCTGCTTCAGGCTCTTTGCTAGACTTTTGTTTCTCGCTCACGTCAACGTAGATGACATCGACATCTCTTCTAAAGTTTTCTGGCGTGCTCTTGATTTTTTTTTTATCCACTAGGACACACACAACATCTTTTTCTTCATCTATCCCTAAAGCATGATCTCTTCTCTTTTTTTTCTTCTTGGGTATAGAAGTAGCCTTTTCAGTCTCATCACAGATTTCCGATTTTTCCAAAGAAGAAACGAGATGCCAGGAATCCTTTCTCCTTTTTTCACTCTTAGGTACGTGAGGCTGTTCATTCGCCAGCGGGGAGTCTCTGAAACTTTCATGGGAACGCCTCCGATGTCTTTTCTTATATACAGAATACTTTTTCTTTTTCTTATCAAAAACTGGACTGTGGATTTCCAATCCGCTTGATTCTCCTTCCATTTTATTCCTATAGGGAAACTTGACAACAATGATTTATTTTTGCAAAGCATTTTAAACATTAGCCTCAGGAGAAAAAAATCACAGAAAAATGAAATTGTATGACAAATGACAAGCCTGGAGTCACGATTATAAATTTTATATTATTCTAAATGCACAGGCGGCTCACACCAACTCACTCTGTCTGGTCCCACTGCCTTTATGATGTACAAAAAATAATTAACAGAGAACAGCAGTGCCTGTACGAGCAAGCCCTTGTTCCCCTCACTGCTTCATCTTTTACCTCTCCTTCCCAACTCTGTGCTCCACCCACACAGGCCTTTTTTTTGGTGCCCCAAACATGCCACAAACCTTCCCTTGGCTCAAGGTCTTACAGTATATGATTCCCTCTCTCCGGAATGCCCTCTAATGCCTCCCCCCATCCCTGCCTCCTTTCATCATTCAGAGCTTGGCTTGGATGTCACTTCTTCAAGAAGGCTTTCCCTAGTTAAAAGGATATACACATCATGATACCATGTATATTAATTTTAAAACACACAAAATAACTTCATGTATCTTTTCTGAATGGATACATACGTAGTAAAACTATGAATGCAGGCATGGGGATTATAATTGGCAAATTCAGAGATTAGGGACAAGTATAGATTATATCTGTAATCTTTTATTTTTTCAATAAATAAAATCAATACAAGAGTGCTTGTTATATTTTTATCCATACTTACTTGAATGCCCGAAATAGTTCACTTAAAAAGCAAGGAGCAGAACAAGGGTATAGATTGCTTTCCTTTGTGTTTAAAAACGAGCAACCAAAGGATATAAATGAATAAGTATTTATTAAAAAAAAAAAAAAAGAGAGAAAGCAAGCAAGCAAGCTTTCCCTGATTCCTTGGGTTTGGCCCATCCCCCAAATGACATACTTTCATAGCAAATTGTACTTCTCTTTTGTGGCATTTAGCCCAACTGTAGTTTTAAAAACAATTATTTAATTAGTCATTAAAAGCTGTCTCCCCTACTAAAAATGTGAATTCCAAGAAGAAAGGAGGTTTATCTGTTTTGTTCCCCTCTGCACTTCCACCATGGAGAAGCCCTGTCCCAGAACTCCATCCCAGAGCAAGCCCCAGCGTCTTCACCAGGGGGCACCAAGTGCCCACTGCCCTCCAACCCGACCACCTTTTGAGAAAGAGGCTGAACGGGCCTTTTACTGTCCAAAAAGCAGTCAAAATTCTGCAACAAGTTGGAACAAAGTTTAATAAGGCTCCAACATCAACACACATCAGAACATATGCATTTTGGAGTTTAAATACAGTCACATAGATATACTTTATGATAGAGATGGTTAAAAATATAATTTTACAAACACATCTTATAACTTTCCTTGCTCTATACTGCTTCTGGGTTCCAATTTCTTAGCTTTTATTTCTCTTTGACTAGGTAATACATTCACATGGTTCAAAAATCAAAATAATCTTTTCTTACTTCCCGTCCTTCCTTACACAGAAGGTAGCATCCATATAGTCTGATCTGCATTTTGCTATTTTCACTTAACAACAGATCCTGGACATCTCTCTCTATCAGTGGTTTTTCAAGTCTGAAGGCCAAGCACATCTTCTACAGAAGGCACCTAATTTATCCTAGGCAGTAAAGGGCAGCTATAAGAATTGTGCGGCTGGAGGGAAGTGGAATATGAAAGAAAATGTGGACTTACACCTCTAAGCCAAGCCCCCGGCCCCGGGATCTCATCTTCAGTGGAGGCATCCAAAGCTTCCATCCAGGCCTTCCTCCTGAAGTCACTGTGAGATGCATGGAAACCTAGCTACGACTTCTTTGAGCTCTCAGCTCTAAGCAGAGTGAGTGCTTCAAGCTGACTCCCAGTTCAGAGAGGCTCCAGCCGACTTTGTCCGTCTTATATACTACTGCAGCTCCAGCATCGAGCTGGAATTGTAATAGCTTTTTTGGAATGAATTAATGCCTTCTCTTTGGCTGCCTTCAAACTGTTAAGAATGGCTGGAGAAAAAACTCACAACTGGGCAGACGTGCACCACTCTAAACACATGGTTGCTCACTACAGCTGGGACCTGAACACTGCTCAGCGGTCAGTGTCCCTCTAGATCTGCGCTGTCCAATACAGCAGCCACTAGCAACACGAGGCTGCTGAGCACCTGAAATGCGGCCAGGCCAAACTGTGCTCTAAGTGTAAAAGAGACATTGGATTTCAAAGACTTTGCGCACGGATGGTAAAATAGCTCACTCATAATTTTTGTATGTTGCTTTCGTGTTGAAATAATAGTTTGGATATTGTTAAGTAAAATACATTCCTAATTCCAACTTCCTTTTTGTTTCTTAACGTGGCTACTAGCAAATTTTAAATTCCCTATGTCGCTTGCATTCTATTTTTCTGGACGGCAATGCTCCAGACAGCTCATTCGTCCGCTCTTCTTACAACAATTATCTCAAATCTCCTTAACTCTCAACGAACTTCTAAATTCCATTCTTCCCCTCAATTGCAGCAGACTAACTTGCCCATGACTTCATACTCTCACACATTAGACAAGAAATATGTCACCCTCCAAATTTAACCCGGCTGCCTGCACCTGCCCTGTCCTCCTTCCCTCTTGCTGCAATAAAGCAAGTGTCCCTTCTCCTGCCAAAGGCCATTTCCTCCATGTGTGCTGGACCTCAAGCTCCTCTTGCACTCTCAGAGAGCCTGAGCCATCAGATGCCCCATCTCTCTCCTGCATTTTTAGCCTCTCCCTCTGCAGTGGCTCCCTTCTAGCAACACTCTAACAATTTTTAGTTCTATCTTAAAAAACACAAAAACAACAACAACAAAATGCAACCATCTTCTGACCCTAAAGTCCCATCTACCTATTCTCGTACCTCCCCTTCACAGCAAAATTTCTCTTTTTTTTTTTAAAGATTTTATTTTTCCTTTTTCTCCCCAAAGCCCCCTGGTACATAGTTGTATATTTTTAGTCGTGGGTCCTTCTGGCTTCGAACCGGTGAAACCCTGGGCCACGGAAGTGGAGCCCGCAAACTTAACCACTTGGCCACAGGGCCGGCCCACACAGCAAAGTTTCTTAAGAAACTGTTCTCTCCATTTCCTCACCCTTGGTCCACTTCTTAACCCACGTCTTTGGAGCTTTCACCTCCACTACTCCCATGGTGAGACTACTCCAGTAAGAGTGCCTATGACCTTCAAGCCACTATATTCAAGAAACACTTTCCAGGCCCGTCTTTCAGGACCTCTTAATAACAATGAACAGAGCAGATGATTCCTTTAAATACTCTTTCACCTTACAACAGTTTCTTTCTTTTTTGTAAACACCTCTTAAACTTCTCCCTCTGGTCACCAGAACTCAGCACAACATTTTAAATATGTAGTCACCTCTCGCTAAAAACTTTTTATGGTTTCCCGGTTATTCTTAAGATAAAGTCCAAAATCCTAACAGGTCTACCACGCTTCATGACCTAGTCTGGTCCACGTCTCATTTCTCTCTGGGTTTCAGACTCCTTGCCTTTTTTCAGTTCCTAGAATACACGTTTCCTTTCAGGGAACTTTGCAAAAGCAGGTCCTCCTAGCAGTAACGCTGTTCCTCGGCATTACCTCTGCCCTTTAACTGATCTAAGTTTGAAAGTCACTTCCTCAAGAAGCCCTCTCTAATCGCTTAACTGGGTCGGGTCTCCCTGTTATGCGGTGCTTCTCAACAAGCCAGCTGCTTCCCTGCTGCGCTGAGCGAAGCTGTGACATGATCGGCCTCCTAAGGGTTATGTTCTTGTCCGTCTTGCTCCCACACGGTTCCCAGTGCTCGGTACATATGGAACACTGAATGGATATGCATTTATCCCCACTTACTCGGAACACACCTCTTCCCGCCCTGCAGGCTACCTGCCCAAGCCTGCTCCTGGATTCTCTCACCGCCCTTCGGGCGTGACAGAGACCCTACTGTGCTCTGCTTTGCTCTGGGATGGGCGTTCCGGGGCCGAGAGGGGAGGAACTACCCAGATGTCCGGCTGTCGAGCCTCTGTTGCCCAAAGACCGCAGCCTCGGTTCCCGTGTGGAAGGGCCTGGCGCGGCCGCGGAGAAAACAGGCGCCAGTCGCATCCCTGGAGACCTCAGGCCAAGGGCGGGTCTCCCAGGAGATGAAGACACCACCCACCGCTCGATCTCTATACCGTATACGCATTTAAAAAACAGGAACAACGAAAACGCGCTTTCCACCTACCGTTCCAAGGCCTCGCCACCTTCCTCCCAGTCCGGAAGTGCTGCTGTTGCGGAAGCGGAAGTAGTCGCGCGTCGCTTCCGGCCCGGCCTCCGGCGTCTCGCTTCCATGGCAACACGCCAGTCGCCCCGACTGTGACACGTGCGTAGTTGACAGCCCGTTTTGTTCCTGAGAGAGTGGCTGGGGTAGTGGGTAAACCCGAAAACTAAGAAAATAGGGCAGAATTCTTCGATTGACCTACTCATTCATTCAGGCATTCCACTTATTTAACAAGTTTTTGCGGAGCTCCATCTATAGTCCAGGACTGAACCAGATGGTGAGGTCTCTAGGTCCCTAACCTGAGGAAGACAGATAGCAAGCGAATCAACCAAGATAATTTCAGATTGTCCTATAAGGAAAATGAAACAGGGTAATGTGATGGAGAGCGACTGGGGACAGTGAGTGCTACTTTCGGTGGAAGGGAAGGCTCTTTGTGGAGTGACCTTTGAACTGAGTTCTTAATGAAAAGGGCAAGCAAAGACTTAGGAAGAGTGTTCCAGGCTGGAACAAATACAAAGGCCCTGAACTTGGTTGCTGGAGGAACCGAAAGAAGGCCAGGGCAGCTGGAGCACAGTGAACGAAGGGGAGAGTGGTAGGAGATGACGTCAGAGGTCGGCAGGGCTGCCCGGTGCAGAGTCTGATGCACACAAAGCTTCGATGAAGGATAGAGCTGCAAGGAGCCTTGGAGATCTGTTCCAATCCTCCCCTTTCAACTGAATCCTGAATAAACTTGGCTTATGATTAAAAGTAAAGCTCTTACCTGGCCATCAAGTTGAGGCCAGTATATATACCACTCAAACTTTCAGCTTTATTGCACAGTGAACATAACCATATTGGCAACTACTTGTCTCATTTAATCCTATAACAACCCTCCGTTGTAGGTATCTCTACTAGGTATTATCAGCTTCATCTTATGGATGAGAAAACTAGGGGTTAACGAAACTTGTCCAAAGGGACTTACGTGGCCCAGCTAGGATTCAAACATGTGCTCTTTCCACTACTCCACTATTCCGCTCCTCACTGCACCACCTGACTTCCTCCGTGTGAGCTACCAAGCAGCTTTGATTGAAAAGTGCACAATCTGTATTTCTGTGAAAGTCTGCAAGTGAAGCAGGCTGGAGAAACCATAAGCACGCATCATACACACACACACACCCCCCACCACCCAAGGTCTGCTCCAGGCCTTGGACGAGCAGTTGGAAGTCTATGTGCTCTGCTCCATAAATGTGGTGTTGGTGTTGTCCACAGTTGGTATGTAATGCCTTGAAGTTCTGGCCTCTTGTCCATGCAGCTTGCTCAGTGGTGAACCCACTTACCCAGAGCCTTGTAGCTATTTGCACACGTAATGAAAATGATGGATGAATGAACCCACAAAAAACTGGAACTAGAAGGCAGACTAGAGATCATCCTCCAGGTTAGTGGTTTCAAAAGCACTACACCAGTCACCTGGGAAGCTTTTAGAGAGTGTAGAGTCTCGACTTTATGTGGACTGCATGTTAGGCACTATTCTTGTATCACGTTAAAATCCACGGACATGAGAATGACATTGTAGCTATGCCCGAGAATATCCTGTTCCTTGGCAGACACATGCTGCAGTGTTTCGGGTCAAATATGATACTGTCTGCAGATATTTTCAAAATGATTCAGCAGTGAGAGTGTGTGCCTGCTCACACTCACACACATACACACACACACACACACACACAGAAAATGAGGCAAATGCCAAGGACTGGTGAATCTCGGCGAGGTCTATACAGGTTTGTATAGTATTCTTCTTTAATTTTTTTGTAGCTTTGAACTTTTTTCAAAATAAAAAATCCAAAGGAGAGGGAAGAAATTTTTAAAATGCAAATTCCAAGGTCCCGTTTCCAGATATTCTGATTCGGGGAATCTGTATTTTCCAACTTCCCTCCGTTCTGTTGCACGAAGTTAGATATCAGCTCATTTAACTCTAGACTTTCCTCGCTACCCATTTCACGGAAGGAAAAAACTGCGGATCCAAGAGGATGACTAATTTGACATCACCCAGTGGATTAGCAGTAACATCGGGCCTGGAATGCGGATCTTTATTTCATCATGAAACTTTGAGCGCTCCATCTCGGGTGTGTGCGTGGGGTGCGGGAGGAGAAATGGGAAGGGGCGGCGAGTGGAGAGGAGGTGGTTGGAGAGAGGGTATTTTGACTCGGAAATCACGTGTAAATGACCCGTTAGACCCCGTCGCTTTTTAACACAACAAATGGTGATTTGGAGGGTTTTGTCACGTCTATTTAAGAAAACTCAAATAGGTGCCCTTTGGCGGCCAACAGTTTCCTGAAAGAAAACTGATCCTCGCAGCCCCGCACCATTGGCGTCCCGTCGCCATGGAGACGGACCGTCTCATGCTTCCTCAAGGGGTGGTCTTGATTTTCTCTCCATTTCCAATCCTCAGCGCGGCACCCAGAAGACGCTGCAAGGAACCAGAGGGCCTTGTGCAGGGCTTGGGAGCTCCTCGCAAAGAGGTGGCCGTGCGAAGTGGGCGCGTCCCTCTCTGGAGGGGGCCCACCCTTCTGTGCCGCCCCCCAGGGTCTGGGTGGTACGGCCCGGGACGCGCCGCAGACCCCTCGGAGGACCGCGCCAGTCCCAACCTGGGAAGCGCCTGTGATTCAGCCCGCTGGCCGACTCCCCGCGACCCCCAGGATGACAGAGACCAACAGCTCCTTCCAGGACCTCACGCGATCTAAGAAGAAGAAGCAGCCGGTGCGCCGCACGGTCTGCCAGATATGCCCGCCCCCGCGGCGTCCCCTGACCGTGGCCGACATCCGGCCGGGCATGGAGAACGAGAGGCTGGGTGTCGTGCGAGATTCCATGTTTCAGAACCCGCTCATCGTCAAGGTGAGCCGCCTACACGCCCACCACCCTTTCGCGCTCGCCCTCTCACTGGGCACCCACGCGGCCGGAGGTTTCCACCCGCCCCGTCCGAGCGCGGCTTTGGGAGCTCCAGCTCGGGTCCACACAGACCTGGATCCCCCTGTGGTCACGAGCAGGTCTCATCGCCACTCTGAGCCTCAGTTTCCTCATCCTCAAAGTGGGGTGATAATGGCGTTCATTAAAAGGAATGAAAGGTAAGATTGAATAGGGTAATACCTGCGGGACCCCTGGCCCAGCGTCTCACACGCGGTAAGCTCACAATGTTGGCTGCTGCTATTTACCCAGGAGCCTGCTGGTGAACCCACAGGGTGACAGGTCGCACGCACCCAGACTATGTCCTGACTCACCACCTGCCAGCTCTCTCAGGGTGCAGACCGCCCCTTCCCTTTCATCTGCGCGCCTGGGCTGCTACTATGCAGCAGGGGTTCTGCATCTCTCCTGAAAGCATCCGTTCACTCGTTAATTTCCGCCCGCTCAAACTCTGATCCAGAATTACAACCCTAAGAGAAAAAAACCCGCGAACTGCTGTCCTAGGAGGCCCGGCAGGCACGAGTGAGGGATCCGCGGTTTCTAACCAGATGCTCTTTTTATTGCGCGCTCGCTCACTTTAGCCTAGTTCCGGACTGGTGATCCCCGGACCCTGGACGGGCCCTGTAAAGTCAAGTTGAAGTTTGGCGCTTAGGGAGGTGGTCATGAAGCAAATTTATCTTGCGCCACTGGAGGGCAGTGTGCTTTTAAAAATGCGCGCAGTTTCCAGATGCCGGAGGCGGAAGGCGC